AGGCCAGCATTCCCAACGTTACAGTATACAAACGAGAGTGATCAGTGAAGTGCCCGCTGCACGAAGGCAAACTCGAAGCCCTATGACATTGTCATTCGGTGTGTGCGGGTTAAACGAAAGCACCGAACACCCACCTTGCTAAGTACCGGATAAGTGAAGTGAAGAAAGGGGCGTCTGTTAAAGCGGCTGACTCGATCTACTGTAGATGGTGATGGGCGTTGGCTGGCTCTCAGTCAGGGCTTTGGGAGCAACTCAGAGAACCCAATTCAGGGCTAGTGTCTACACGGGTCTACCCTTGAGTAGTGCCCGATAGAGGCCCATGTCACGATCACCACGTCTCTCACGGAACAGGTGAGAATTGAGTCCGGTGAAGACCGTTGGGGAAATTACACAGCATTATTCGTTTCCAGGTTAGCTCTTGAACAGTCTGAGCTCGTCGGGCACCTACTAAAGCCTCAAATATCGACATCAGGAAGTGAGTGTAGTTGGACTGTGAGTCAGCATTGGATGCTTGACTGATTCTCTCTTCCTTATCTGATGATTAACCTGTAGGCCGGAGCCCGCTTCAGCACTCGAGGCGGTGCTGACATGTAGCTAACATTTGGGGCACTGCGCATCATTGAACTGTTGGACTAACTTTCACGATCCTAAGTTTAGGAACAACCCTCTACTGTGCGCGTGAAAATCATTAAGTTTAACTGTAGTCTACTCTATCCTCTACCTAAATCCAAAGGGGTGTAAAGAAAAGTACAGAAAAGGAGAAGATCCTCGTGCTGAAATGTAGATCAGAACAAGACAAAAAGGAGGGATGGGAGGAAGAGGCGTGCCGAGACATGGAAACGCATAGGAAAATTCAATGCGAACACGCGATTCGGATGGTAAGGAGGGAGAAATATATTGAATATGTAATTTATTATTATGGTCACAATCGCCAGTTACACAGTACTGGTTCGTTGCTAGAGACGATGCAGCAAGCTAGGATGAGGCTCGAGTGAACACGGAGGATGTCCAGGCTTCCCTCTTGAGGTTCCTGCCAACATTCTAGCTAACGCAAACCCTTCAGCAATTCGCAGCCTTTCTAGTGGAGGCTGTTCAGTGATCGTCACCCCATCAAAAGCCCAACCAATCGAGTTACCAGAACACTTAGTCGGAACTCATTCAACAGTATTCAAGCAATACTCGGCAATATTCAAGCAACAATCAGTCAACACTCAATCATTGCTCAATAAGTATTCAATCAACATTCAATCGTTTGAGTTACTCAAGAATTTCAACCAGAATCAATCGGTGTGTCAGAGACCACTTCTGGTCAGACAGATTCCCCATTCAAAAACGTTGGATCTGTCCCAAAGATCAACAACACATGAGTGTAGTCCAGTCATCTCCTCTCAATGAATCAGTCCTGGCCAATCTCAACAAGATAGCTCTCAAGGACTCAATTGACTACCAGAATGTCAGTGATGTTAGCTTCAGCCGAGGGGATTTGTCAGCCTTTGTTGTCCATACCAGTTTCGCAGGGGGTTCTATTCATGACCTGAGGATCTATTTGAAGAAGGGAAAGGAGACCCATGAGCACTTCGATTCGGTCTGGATCACAGCTGCCCGGTATCTCGAGGAGAGAGAAAAAAAGCTTGATGAGGGTGGAACAAAGCTGATTCGTAGCTTCGGACCCAAGCTTTATTCTGACTATCCCAGACCCTTAGTTCCCTTTCTTCTCATTGACGGTTCTTGTTGGGGTGACCTGGTAGAACTAGCCAAGAGGTACATTTCTCCTGCTGTGATCGACTATGAGGCAGTCACCGAACCGTCAGATTTCCAGCATCTCAGACAAGGGATTTTTTCTCAGCCGTATCTTCCTACTCTATGAGAGGAGTTTTGTGCCATGGTTGACTTCCGCATCATGGGACTTGGATGGAAGTGTTCAGAGCTAGCAGGGTTCAGATGACTCTATATTTAGACGCCACAGACTCAGAGGGTACGGGGACATGGCTCGAGGCACAAGAAACGCACAGCAAAGTGAGAAATTGAGTGTGAGATTCAAATGGACGAGTGAGGACTCTTGATTGGTGCTGGCCATGTCTCCTACATGTGTACTTCCTGAGACTATTACGAATTCTCATTCTTCCCGCACTTAACTTTGTCATTGCTCCAATTAGTCAGTCTTGCTCATGCAGTCGTTGCTGGTGATTGCATTTCTCTGATGACTCTGTCACGGTTTTCAAAAGTAGTAAACTGGCAAAATTGATGCAGGCACGACACACCATAATTTTATGATTATTATTTTCATGATTCTTTGTTGTTCCGAATCAAAATAAAAGATTCCTAAGACCGGCGACCGGCGAAGACCGCAATTGAAGGGTCTTGCTCGAAGCCGGACGCACACAACAGAAAGGGATTTGCTTTGTTTAATTTATTTAATTTATTGCAAATATCATCTAAAATCCTGCATGACAGCCTGTTGGCTTTCTGGTCACCAGAAGAGGCCTGACTAGAAAAAGTGCGACACCATCTTTCTTTCCCCCCTTCATCGCAACCCACTCCCCTGCTTCCCAGCGCGATCTGCCTCCCCTCTTTTCCCACAGTCCTCCCCCACTTACCCTCCGCCCGCCTGCACATGCGCACCAGGGCCTGGTAGGAGCGACACATCAGTTTGAAGATAACGCAGGTCTCCTAAGATGAGCTCGACAAGTACAAAAATCTCGTTTGGAGCAAAAGGACAAGAGCTCATTTGATTTTGATTTCCAGTACAAATACGAACTGTGAGAGTGTGGCCCATCGAACCTCTAGCGTTTCAGGACTTCAAGCTAGAGATGTCAGAAAAGTTACAACCGGGACAACTGGCTTGCGTTAACCAAGGGTTCATAGCGACATTGCTTTTTGATCCTTTGACGTCGCTCTTCCTATCGTTGTGGAGCAGAATTCACGAAGTGTTGGATCGCTCACCCGCCAGCAAGTCGAACACTTCGCCACGAGATCGTCATCGGCGTTGGATCCTTGATGCCGCCGATCCACGCACGTGACGCGCTCGAAAGGATTGACAAAATTTCTCTTGCCCATTGCTCTCTACGACAGTTGAGATTGATCTCGTCTCCTTCATCAACATCACTAAGCATCATCAGTGTCATCGTCATCAACAAGGATCATCATCATCATCACCATCATCATCATTATTGAGGATTGCTCCGGTGACCTCCGTCTTACTAATCCCCTCCCTCTCGCTGACCTCTCTTAAAGATTTCATCTTTTCCTCTTCCTTTACCTCCTCCCTTCCCTCCTCTAACCCCCGCCTAATCGGTCGCACCATCCAAAAATTCCTAATGCGCATGATGCGTATTCTCTCTCTTAGGGTTTCTCTGACAATGCTGTTCACCCTGTCATTCAGAATTCTGGTCTAATTCGATAGGGTTAATCTTCATTTCCTTTCCTTCTAACGCCGTGATCGGAATTAATTCCGGCGTTTTTGCTCAAAAGTTACGTGAAATTCTTTATTATATGAAATCCTTTTCTTAACACAATTTAAATTTTAACTTTATTTCATAAATTCGTTAAATAAATTTCAAAATTTACTAAATTCCATTCTTTTGATGTCGAATTTCCCCTTATTTTCTATCCAAATTCTTTTTGAAATTCTTTTGAAATTCTTTTGAAATTCTTTTGAAATTCTTTTGAAATTCTTTTGAAATTTCTTTTAAATTTATCTTAATCTTGTAACACGTCGAGAATTTTTCTTGATTTGACCTAGATAATCCGGGAATTTCTCTCAACCTAATTTACATGGCTATCACTAATTCTTTATGAAATTTCGTCGTAAATTCTTAATTTAGGAATTAGTTTTTTTCCTTTATTTCAAATTGCCTTTGAAATTCTTTTAATTTCGAAAATACGTCAGGGAATTTTTCATTTTACTTCAAAATTTTCCTCTCAACTTATCTCTACCTCTTCTATCATCTCTCCAAACTTTTGGAAACTTTTACGAACACTTTTGAAATGCATCGACTTTTGCCTCAATTTCCTTAGAAATTCCGAATTTACGACTAAATAATTTTGGAATTTTATTCTGACCTCGTGACTGTCTTATGCATGCGTTTCTCTATACCCCACACCATCCTTTGAAAATCCCCTCTCATTTCCTTGCCCGAATTGGAAATTTCCTTCTTTCCCCCTCACTTCGACTTTGAATTTTCTTGGTCTAATTTTGGAAAATCGTTAGACCTCATTACTACTCGCCTTCCTCTCGTTGTCCCTTACCCCTCTTCTGCGTGTCACCCTGGCTCCCCGTGGCATCCAACAGCGTGCACTCCAAAATCGCGCTCGAAACACTCGTGTCGGCAATCGACTCGCTCGCTTTGACGCACCCACCGCGGCCACAGATCGTCCCTCTCGTCACGGTGCTCCCTCGACATTATCTTCATCTTCTTCATCTGTCGATCCCATGCAAAGTGCAGAGTCGGTGAGCCCCTCCCGCTCCATCAGTGAAGGGCTTGCGCTACTAGCTCACGATACCATGGGCGATTCGGCTCACATTTCCACCCCTATGGCCACCAGTTCGGGTCCAGTCACCCAATCGGATTGCCTACTGACTCTCCTCGAGAACATGCAGGCCAGATTCGATGTCAAATTCACGGCCCTCAATACCGACTTTTCATCCATGTCGGCCCTCGTGTCACAGTTGGAGCCCCGTACCAGTGCACTTCCCTCCCCACCCCCCTCATCAGCATCTATGCTAGCTTCCTCTCCTCCTTCGGCTGGCGTTATCTACGTGCTCGTCTCTTCCACGGGTGGCATGTCCTCACCCCAGTCCCACCCTTGCTCTGCAGCCATCTCTTCCTCCTAGGTTTCCACCCCTACACCTCCCTCCTCAGGGCCCATGGCATCTTGTCCCGCCACCTCCTCGACGTTAGTTTCCACGACACCTCCCTCATCACCCCCCGCTCCTTTGCCTCTCCCCCCCTCCCCTCTCTACAACCAAGACAAAATGATGAGCTCCAACGCCAGCTCACCCTGGCCCATGATCACATCCGCCAGCTCCAAGGAGGTCAACCCCTGCCTCCCAACCTTGCGACACAGCCTGTCGCCCCTTTCATCTGCCGACAACATCAAACACAAGCCGCTGCGATGCATTTCACTCTCCCACCACCGGCCACCACGATGTGTCAAGGACCTTTGCCCCAACTTCCTGCTCTCACTAGTTCTCTTGCTGGTGCCACTACGTCCTTTGTCCTCTTGTCACAGTCAGCTCTTCCTCTCCCTACCCATTATCGGTCGCCGATGTATGTTCCACAGTTCCGACCGGATCGCCTCCCACAGTTTGACGGCCGGGCCTCTGAGCTCCAAGGATGGATCTCTACTGCCGAGGAGCAGCTTCGCTACCATGGTGTCGCCATGGAAATATGGCCCGTCGAGATGTCCTCTCGCTTTACAAGTCGTGCAGCCTCCACCTGGCGTGACTTCCTCGCCCTTCGCTCACAGCATGGTGTACATGAGGGCATGTCTTATCCTGAGTTTTGCGACTTCCTTCAGCAGTACTTTTCTCGCCCTGTGCCAACCCACGCCCCAATTACCCGTGTGGCTGAGATCAGATGGCTTGGTGGCGACAATGCCTTAGAGTCATACATCACGACATTTCACCGTGTACGAGCCCAAATTCCTGTAACAGCCATATCCGAGGACACCATGATCCAACGATTCTGCGCCGGCCTACCCCAGCCATTCTTGTTGCAGATGTTGGTGTATTCGATCCCCACCTTACCAGAGGCTTTCAACATTGCTCGGGCCATTCATTCACTTATGCTCCACTCGTCGGCCCCTCGCCTCAGCCAGTCGCTGCCCATCCTGCTACTAATGCAGCCCCTCGCCCCTCCTAGCCTCGACAGTCTTCCACATACCATCGTGGCCTTCGTAGAGTCTCTGGACGATCTCTCTCTCGTCGTTGCATGCCCTGCTTCGTGATCCGTCGAGCGTTGATGATGGCACCGCCTCAGATGGTTCTGCGAGTGACCCAAACCAGGAACCCGACCCTCAGTCCTCCGCGGAGGACGACGCCTCTTCCCAAGACGACCGCCTCGTCCGGGCCCTTTCTGCCCTCCTCCGTCGTCAGCCCTCATCCTCCAGGACTCGCTCTACTGTTCCTCAACTACCCCTCCCAGCGGGCTTTGTGTTCCCTAGCGGCCGCTTGATCGTTGCTAAGAGTGAGGACTTTCGTACACGAGGCATCTGCACCCGCTGCCACCTCGACGGCCATACCTCCTCTACATAACCGTATGCAGGAGCCCTCCAGAGTCACTTTACACAGCAGGCTCGCCCTCAGTCTGTTCCCCCCGTCTCGACCTCTAGCGCAACACCCACCTAGTTGCGATGTCTCATTCCCCTGACTCTCCTATTGTAGCAGGCATACCCGTTCACGACTCTACCTTTGCTCCACTAGCTACTCTTCCCGATGGCTCTGCTTCGACCTTATCTTTGGCTGACCCTACCGACACTGGTATACCTTCTCCTTCGTCTCCTAGCGTCTCTCGTGACCCCTCTCCTCCACGTCCTCCTACCAGGCGTGCTCTTCACACGGCCCGCTGTAGTGCTTCCCTTATTGCAGTCGAGGATATCATTGACTTCCTGGACCTCGAGTGTGTTAAGGTCCGTCAAGAACGTATCCGCCTTAAAGAGCGCACCCTGTCCGCGATGTCTCAGCGCCTACACAATCCCGATCGCATCTTACCGATGATTCTTGTGCGCCTCGGGACCTCTACTAGAGAGCATCGCGCACTATGGGACTCTGGCTCTACTGGCGACTTCATTCATCCTCGTGTAGTTAAGGAGGCATCTCTCTATACTTCCCCCTACCCTTCCACTGTCACTGTTATGCTTGGCGACAATCAGGCCAAATCCTTTGTCGACTGTGTGGTGCCTGATCTTCCATTCTCCTTTCCCTTGTGGATGCCCCACAGCCTTCGCAAGGCCCCTCGGTTCCATGACCAGTGGACCTTCGACGTCATGGAAAACCATATACGATCTTGTTCTCGGCACTGCCTACTCCCATCAGTTCTCCCATGCCGTCCTCGATTGGACCCACAACGATCTCGTCCTCGACGCCAAGGATGAGAAGCAATATCGTATTCCGTTGTTGGGCAAATCGGACTCTACACTTCCCCCCCTTGTTAATGTCACCACCTGTACACCTACCCAGTTCCACCACTTCCTTCGTCAGTCTGATGTTGAACTTTATGTTGTCGACATCACGGATCTCCTCACTTGCAACTCTGTGCATCAGGACGTTGAGTTGGTCGAGCTCGATCCACCACCTCCCGAGCCCCCCAACCCTCCTGATTCCTCAGCTTCCTTACCCTCCTCTACCCCGGCTAGCCCATCTCACTTTCTCGCTTCCCTTACCACTGATTCACCCTCAATCCCTATCCCCACACAGACTCCTCCACCTCTGCTTCAGACGCCGCCGCGACCAAGGAATTTGACCCCCTTCTTTCTTCCTTGCCGCCTAGCATTGGTGCTCTCCTTCGCGAGTGTCGCGATGTTTTCCCACCATCGGTCTCCTACAACAGTATTCCTCCCATGCGCGATATCGAGCACCAAATCTATCTCGAGCCCAACTATCGCATTCAGAGTCGCGCCCCATATCGCCTTTCGATTCCCGAAGCCCAGGAACTCAAGCGCCAACTTGAGGAGTTGCTTCGTCAGGGCTTCATTAAACCGAGTACTTCCCCATGGAGTGCCCCTGTCCTTTTCGATCGCAAGAAGGACGACACCCTTCCTCTCTGTATTGACTACCGCAGTCTCAACCACTATACGGTCAAAAACAACTATCCCATGCCCCGCGCAGATGATCTGTTTGACCACCTCGCTGGCCACCATTTCTTCACGAAGATCGATCTTCGTAGTGGATATCACCAGATCTGCGTAGCTGAGGAGGACCAGCCCAAGACCGCTTTCCGTTCTCATTTCGGACACTACGAGTTTACCGTCATGCCGTTCGGTCTCCGTAATGCCCCCGCCACCTTCCGGACGGCCATAAACACGATGTTCCAAGACCTTCATAAGGATTCAATTCTAGTCTACATCGATCGACATCCTGATCTACAGTCGTACCCTAGAGGATCGCTTGACCCATCTTCGCACTGTCCTGCAGCGACTACGCGACCACGGGTTCTATGTGAGGCTTTCCAAATGCAGCTTTGCTCAACCCAAAGTCGAGTTCCTCGGGCATCATGTATCTGAGCACGGCCTCCACATGGACGACTGGAAGATCCAGGCCATCGTCGATTGGCCTACCCCTACATCCCTCCCTGCCCTGCGTAGTTTTCTTGGTTTGACCAACTACTATGGTCCTTTTCTCAAAAACTACGCGCAGTATTCTTCCCAACTCACCCCTCTGACCCGCGGACGTCTCCCTTCTCATTGGACCCCGACTCACAAGAATGCCTTCCGCTCTCTCAAGCGACTTGTCACATCAACTCCTGTCTTACACTTACCCGACTACTTGCATCCATTCATCTTCACCACAGACGCGTCTGACTTCGCTATTGGAGCTGTTCTCTCCCAAATCTACCCATCCCCTTCTACTTCTCCCGATTCCACATAGTCCCGCCTCCCTCGCATTCCTCGCTTCCCTCCTCCACCTCCAGCGACTGTGGCTCATCTTGCACCCATCGAGCCCACCCCCTCAGGGGCCCCACCCCCTTATATTCCTGACGTCGCTGATGGTGGTAAAGTCGAGTCTCGCAATGGAGAGTGTCCGGTTGCTTATCTATCTCGACAGCTACTTCCCGCTGAGCGTAACTATACTGCCGACGAACGTGAGGTCCTTGCGCTGGTCTACGCTATTAAGAAGTGGCGTCATCACTTGCACGGTCACACTTTCACCGTTTTGACGGACAATTCTGTCCTCGCCGCCTTCTAGATGAAGCCTAAGCTCACTTCTCATCAGGCTCGTTGGTGGCGTGACCTCTTCGAGTTCTATTTCACCATCAAGAAGATTTCCGGCGAAAGCAATCGCATCGTAGATGCCTTATCCCGCCGCCTTGACCTTCAATGCGAGGATCATCAGCTATCTGCTATTTCAGCTCCCACCATCCACCCCGCCTTTCTGGATGAGTACCACCACGCATAGACCCAGTGCCCTGAGTTTCAGTCCATCTACACTGACCTACAGGCTGGCAAGTCCGTCCCTAACTTCCAGCTCAATCCCTCTGGACTCCTATACTGGCTTGGTCGCCAAGGTACCCGTTCTCCTCGCTTATGTGTGCCCTCTACTGGCCAGCTCCGCATTCGGACCGTCGCTGAGTGTCATGATCAGCGCTCCATCGGTCATCTCGGTGTCTTCAAGACCCTTGGCTGCCTCTACCGCCATTACTACTGGGAGCACTGTCGTCCTTTCACTAAGGAGTATGTCTGTACCTACAGGATCTGCCAGGAGGCCAACATTCCCAACCACCCCCCCTACGGCCTTCTTCAGCCCTTGCTCATTCCAACTCAATTGGACTTCCTTCTTCATGGACTTCATCGGTCCTCTTCGTTCCCCCAACCCATGAGGCCACGACGCCATCTTCATCGTTGTCTATTGGTTGACTAAGCATGCTCACTTCCTCCCTTGCAAGTATGCTAGTTCAGCCAAAGATATCGCCTCCCTATACTTCCTCCCTTTCGAGGATCTCGTCCAACTGCCTACGCAACTCTTCTAACTCCCTTGGGGACATTCTGTAAATTGCACCCTTAGGAGTTCTACTGCCAGGCTCTATCTCTATACGATGCTGGATCGACCACGACATTACTCCTGTCGGCGGCTCTGCTAAGTCTTTAAACTCCTCCAACAGCTTGGCAATAGTTGGGTCCATTGGCTTATCCTCTTTAGGCCCAGTGACATACCTCACATACGCTAGGAAGACCTGTTCTTCTAACTGCTCCTTTCTTACTAGTCGCGGACGTGGAAGCACTGAGACAGCAATGTGCCAGGGAGTTATCTACTCCTGACACATGGAACAGACGGGCAGTCTTGACCTCGCCTAATGGACTAGGGAGCCTACACTCATGCTCTCTCACATGGAGTGTGGCCCCTGCTGCCTCTCCCCAGTCCATACCTAGGACCACATCAAAGGGAGGTTGTCCGCTACGCGGAGAGTCAGAGAGTGGAGAACTTTCTCCACTTTGTCATCTTTCTCTAAGCACAGATACGCGTGGACTCCCTCGACGTAATCCTCAATACGCATCGTGCGGTTGTCTGCGAGGATACTGACTATGGGGTCTTCCAACTTCTGGACTTTCAGACCTAGCCTCACCTTCTTTACTGCTTTCCTACTGATATAACTACGGGTAACCCCTGTATCTATAAGGGCCCCTACTCTGCTTCTAAAAACTTCTAAATCTACTAACACCAGTTGTCCTTTGCTCTCCTTCTTCATCTTGGCCCAGGTCGGCATCCTCTCTTTCAACTCCTCTGCCAGACCTGTGAGGGAAGTGCCTAGAGAGACTTTAACACAGGCAGTCTCTGGACAGCTAACTAGGCACTGGCCTGCAACCTCTGCCATAGGCTCATGTGGTGTGGGAATTTCCTGGTGGTGCGCGCACACTTCCCCACATGGCCTAATGGTAAGGGCAGTTGCAACCCCTTCCGGTGTCTTCCTTTTGACCCCTGGGCAGCAAATCGGGCTTCCCTATACTTTGGACTCAATTCGCTGCTGCCACACTCTCTGATCTTAACCCAAATCTTCCCAAGGCCGGCCCTCTGGCGAACCCGGGTGCCAACCTCCTCGCCGTTGAGGTGATCCTCCACCTCTACGCTGTGGTGATCGACTTGGCCCCGAGCGATTCGGCGGGGGACCTTGACCCCTACCTCCCTCTTGGCGGTTCCTTTGGCCGCCAACCCCCTGTGCGTCCGGACCTCGACCACCCATGGCCCGGCCCCCTTGGCCCTGGACGCCTCCTCTAGCTTGCAGCCTCCCTCCAACCGCGACAACAACATAGGTCCTCCCTTGGCCTACACTGCTGTCTTCCTACTCCAGCCCCACTCGATCCGATTGTAGGGGACTTCGTCCGTACCATCCTCATCTAAAGTAAGGATCATGTGATCCTTTGCCCTGACCTGACCCAAGATGGTACGACCCTTCCACTTCTTTCCCTTGTCTAAATCCTCATGCCAGAAAGTGGAAATTGGCATGGATTTTGCCTCAAACAAGACCACCTCTCTACTCAACGCGTCATACACGGTGGTGGCCTGTTGGGTTTTCTCAAAGAAATGCCCTCGTAAGGGCTTTGGCATGGTTTGGAATATGCAACCATATTGTGTTCACAATCGGCTGCTCGCGCAAGGGACCTGGCAAAACTAGCCGCTTCGTCTGTCAACGCATGGAAGGCCACGAGGACTTGTTTCTCTGGCACACTGTATTGCAAATACACGTATGTGTTGATAATGGCCTCCCAGTTACCAAAATTTTCGTCCTTTTTCCCGCCATAAGAGCCAGGAAACTTGAGCTTGACAGGCTCTTTGCGGGGACGCCCTTCACTCTCTGCAGCGCCACTACTTTGGCGCCTTCAATGGCGCCTGCACAAAATTTCTCTGCGCTGTCCCTTAACTTTTTAACTTTGGTCCCGACATGAGTCATTACGTCGCGTGCGAAGTCCCTAAAACCATAACGGATGGAGTGGAGGGCCATTTCTTGGGCCCTAACAAACTGATGATGCTCAGTCCAGGCCCTACCTGGGAGCTCGATGCTCCCAAGGATCTTATCTAACTTAGCCTGAACATCAGGCTGGGCCTCTACTTCCTGTCTACACGTCTGTAGACTTTCCACCTCTCTAGCAATCGTGTTGGCTTCCTCCGTCCTCCTCTTCTTCTCCCTTGCCAGTCGCAACTTCCAGTCCAACCTCTTCTCATTCTCTATGGCCTGACGTTCTAGGGGATCGCTCGTTGCCTCGATCTCCCTGATTGCTGCTTCCTTCTCCTCCTGAGGTATATAGAGCATCGCCTCTTCGTCTTCTCCCAGTGACAAATTAGCCACCCACTCACTTATCCTCTTCTCCACCCACGGATCATCTTCCTTCGTACCACTGCTTCCTTCCCCTTCCCCCAGTCTTCTCCTTCTAAGGGGCTCTTCTTCCAGCTGCTCTTTCTCCCCTTTAACCTCTTCTTCTACTGCAGCTCTCATCTTCTCCTCCTCTTCTTGCTGCAACCTTTTCATCTCCTCCTCCAACATCTTTTTCTTCGCCGCCTGCTCCTCGGCTATCATCTTCATCTTTGCCTGCTTAAGGAGCTCCTTCTTCTTTTTTCTCTCTCTGAGGATGGCGGCGGCCTGCTCCTGTTGGGCCTTGCTATACGGCATGGTGCTCTTCCCACTGCGAGTGTCAACCATGGTGATAAGTGCACAACCGAACAGTAGTTCAAACCTCACCACTTAGACCTCGACACCTAACTGATTGGACCTAGACTCTAAAGGACCACAGAACCCAAGTAGGATCCTGTCAACTAGGGTCTCTAGCCTGGACCTGAACTATGGCTGTCACTACAGGACTTGTTGCTGATCAGGAGGCATTTAAGGAGATTCCCCGTAACTCCTCAGGAATTATTTAACGTCGCCGACAGGACGACGAGATCAGCAAGTCCTCTCAAGACTTAGACAGCCTGTTGTGCAACCCACAACTCAGATTTTGGGCCTACCGTGCCACACCGAGCAGCCCGCCGGTCAGTACCGGTCCTTGGGAGGGTTCGTGTCCTCCGCGACAGTCGAGTGGTCAGACACGGCCTTTATCCCTTCTCAGCCCGTGTGGGTTTGGTCAACAAGGCTCTATCCTTCATACACGGAGTTCCTATCACCTGGACAGAAGAGACTCAATGTAGAAAGAAGAGACAGAGAGACTCAACAAGTACCATAGGGTGAGTGCACATCCATAGGGCGAGGGGATAGGCTAAGGGCTCGGCGAGATCCCGGATTTGCAGATATGTCCCTCAAGAATTTCCCTCACAGGTAGGTCTCTCGGTTAGCCCTCAGCCAAACAAAATTACGAATCTGTCCTACCTAAAGTACAGCCTCGACAGAGAGAGGCTACAGGCAACCAGAAAACAGCAAGTCATTGAAGTACACTACTTGTGTCGACCCCGAGAGTTGAACCCGCGACCTATGTATTCGCAACAGTTGGTAGGCTGTCGAGGTCCGTAGGTTGTAGGGGTTCGATCTGTAGACTTGTCGGATAGAGGTCTTAGTGTGTTTTAGAAGTCATAGCTGTAGCTCTTTTGAAAAGTCAAGTTCGTAGCTGTTACAGTCCTCAAAGGTCAAGGTCGTAGCTGCTACAGTGTTGAAGGGCCAAGTCCACAAACTTCCAGAAGGTCCGAAAGTGGCCCTTCCAACGTTGCTCACAGCAGGCTGGAGGCAAGTGGGCAAGTGGTGAAGTCCACCCTTGCTGAGTCAGCGGTACCGGTCCAAGTCAGTCCTAGACCAGTCAAGCAAGTACCGTGTGGGACTGTGTGCACCAAGGGCATGGGAAAGGGGCAGACCAACGAGTTACAGAAGTATAAATCAAGAGGCAGCGCCCAGCCATTCATTCATTCCTGCGTAATCCATGCAGAAGCGCTGCTTGAGCGACTTGTGCGAGGTGGTCTGCAGAGTGCCCGAAGAAGAAGTGGGCTGAAGGGATAGTTAGCCATAGCTAGTGAGGGACAGCGGCCATAGCCGCCATAGTTGATAGACGAGTGTGTTAGTGGGAGTGCGTGTGTGCATGTGGGATATCCAGGGTGATCCAGAGTGAGTGAGTGCGAACAGTGGTGTTGGACAGCGTGACAAAGAGTTGGGTGGAACAGGCGCTGATGCGCCATAGCCTGTTGAAGCGAGCTTGTATGTGAACTGTGTTTTCGACTTCCATATCTCTGAGCTTTGAGTGGGCGCTGTGCGCCAGTGTGATTCGCCATCTGTTTGCATGAGTGCGAAGTGAGAAAGAAAGCGAGTCTGATTGCATTAGTATCGGAGCTGGTACCCGCTATCTCACGCGTCGTTGTTGTCCGCGGTATGCCGAAGTTGGGCACCATAGCCGAAGTGCGCCATAGCTGAAGTCGCCATGATCGAAGAGGAAGTCCGCCATAGCTGCGCTGGTGGAGGAAGGTGCCACGTACTTGCAAAGTAGACAACGAAGAAGAGAGAGAGAGAGAGAGAGAGAGAGAGAGAGAGAGAGAGAGAGAGAGAGAGAGAGAGAGAGAGAG